CAGATTTCAGTATTTTTAAGGATAATTAAAAAGTCAGAGCACAATTTTTCCAATTGAGCTAAATGTTTTGATAAAAACAGCAGATATGAGTCTATACTGGTGGGAGTGTCAAGACCTGGGCCTAACCTTTGGCAAACACTTGTGTTTTCTCGAGTTTTGCTGCCCCATCAGCCATTTCTTTTTGTGACTAAAACTTAAGTTTTTACTGAATACTTCCGTATTCCTGGGACTGAGTCTCTTTTAAATGACGCCTCATGCCATATCAAATGATACAAAGCATTGATTAAGACTTGGTCATGGTTGACAACTAATCTTAAACGATCAGTTTCGGGGACAAAGGAGATCTTGATCAGGATTTTTGGGAACCGTGTTAAAGTCTTTCAAACACCTGAACAGAGTCCAGCTCATAGACGCTCCCTCTTTAGGGATGTATTGTCTGATGAAAATAGGAGAAGGAAGAGAAGACCATTCTCTTTCTGCCCTGGGTTCATTTAGCATGTGTATGCTCGGCATGTACTGGTGGGAATTTTTATGACTTTGGCCTAACTACATTTATCCTTTTCATTTATTTGGCACAATGAAAACTATGTAGAATTCTAAAAAAAAAAGGTCCACAAAATCTTGCAGCTTTTGTTTAAAAAATAAATAAAAGCAGAGATTTTCACCTTCTGTCCACCTCTTTGTGATTTCTAAATGAACTGAGGCAGTGAGGGGTGTCGAAGCAAACCCAGCACTGATGTGCTGTAAAGAAGGTAGCAACAGAGCCGTAACGATCGATGTAAAAATATGAGCTGTATTTATGGCTAAGCACTGTGATGAAGTGATAACATCTGGTCTGTGCAACTTTGTTGCAGGACTAAATAACATATTTATTACTAACAAAGAATTGTTGGTGATGCACAGCAACTTTGTATTTATTAGATAACTACAAACGAAAATGCTGAACTGAGTTGATTTGTCACGTTTTATAAAGGGTACATCACACATCTGTGATCTATTAGCCTGGCCCTTGCCTTCCTATGCAGTTTCGCTCAATTCTTGTTTACCTTCACTGCTCCATCTGGGACTTCTCCCATAGACAAGGATTTCTTCAGCAGAATTTTGTTCGGGCCAATTAGAGGACAGAAGGCAGGCGTTGAATGACAACGTCGATTTTCTGCACAGTGTCTGCTCGTAGTTTATTTTACCTGGGCCAATCAGCAAACAGAAGGTGGAGTTTTGAATGACGTCGATTTTCTGCGCAGTGTCTGCTAGTTAGTTTAGCATACGGCAGTGGAGGAAGTGAATGAAGCCAGTCCGTGTTGATAAGGCTTCCAAATTAAATTAAATTTGTCTGACAAAGCAGCAGCTCTCATTTACAGTCGTCTCGTTCGGCTCGGTACTTCTCTCAGTAGGGTTTACAGTGCTCGCGATTTCCAGTTAGCTTCTTAGCTTAGCCTCCTTCACAGTCGAGCTGGCATACACAAACGTTGCGGCCAACTGATCCAATCATTTTAAACATCAGCAGAGGCCACGCCTCCAGCAAGAATCGCTTCTCCAAAGCTGAGAGTCCAGACCCTCGTACGAAGCAAGGTGAAGGACAAGGGTCTGGTTTTAACCACGTTAGTGATTTATGAAAGCCCAGAGGAGGTATAAAGAGAGACTGGTCATTTTCAGAAGAGAGCCTGCTTCATGTAAATTTCACATACTGAAAAATTGGAGCTGGCTTTAAAGAAACTCTCCACCTTAATGATCTAGTTTAAAAGTGTAAGATTATTTCTTTCTTCATCATTTTAGGCCTCAAATATAAGTCTGAATTAACCCACACAAGCTGCGAACATGGAGAAAGTTTTCCGAATGAGCTGCATAATAAATCTTCTGGTTTCAACGACCGTTCGTTGCTGAACTCGGCTCAGGTCCTCAGCTCACACTGCCTGCACACACCTCACAATAATCAACCTTTATGAATAAAACATTGCTTCGTCCATGATGGCAGATCCATTCGTTTTGCTGAGTACAATGTTTGGAGTATGTTGAATGGTTCCATGCGGAGTCGGCATTTCTGTGACAAGCTCATTGGTTGCTTGGAATAGGAGATAATAAGCCAGATCACTCACAGAAGTGGGGATTTCTATTTTGTGAACAATGCATTTCGGCCAGGGCTCGCTTTTATTTTATTAGATTCTTCTTCAGAGGCGACTTCTCGCAGAGCCGAATCCTGCGGGGAGTTGTTGGTCGTGTTGTTAAAGCTCGTTGAAATGTGGGTTTAACAGCTGAAGCTTCATGTTCTCATCGAGTCGTTCCACGACTGCTATCAGGCCAATGAAAGGAGCACAGCAGTTTGATATGGCAACATGGAAATGACTAAATGACAGAATACCAAACATGGAGGAGAGTCACAGTTTCCTGTTGTGAAAGCACTGTGTAGGTCAGACACTTAAAGCATTAAACTCAATCTTCCTGTTTGCAGCTCCTCAGTAAAGTGCTGCTCTGTAAATATTTTTGCATCATGTCCTGTGGAGTTTGTTTCTTCTATCTTAAATACAATAACTTTTAGAGGTACAATACTTGTTTTTTTAGCTGTGTTGCCAATTTAGCAATTTTGTTGCTGTTTTGCGAGACTCTTCAAAAAAGCCTTGAAACATTGATTTTTTGGAAGTATTTTTTTTCCTGAGTCTGTCGTCTTGTGTTACATTATAAAATCTGTCTCTGACTTTTTTTATTCAGCAATGATTGTTCCCTCTGTTTTTGAATCTGTATTGTAGAATGTCAACTTGTTTTTCTTTGTCACCTTGTTTAAACTGACTGATAAAAAGTCCTTTTTAAATCAAGTGGTTGAAAAAAGTTTGTTTAAAAAGGAGCAACTGTCGATTTTTTTTCTCTATAGGTTAGTCACCAGAGACTCAGCTTCACGTTTCATGACGATATTTAAGAAACTTATTTATTCCTTGTTCTGATAGACAGTGGTGGACCAGCAAGCCCTTTTCTGCAGGGCTAAACGTTCAGTGATCAGAATCACGTATCAGTCGTATTTTTGATCATTGTTTGGTTGTACAATCTTTAAAACATAGATGCTTATTTTAGAGCTTTTATCCAATCGTATAAAAGTCATCATGTTGTAAGAAAATTCGTATTCAATAAACTGAAGTCGATATTAAAAACACCATTGTTAAATAAAATGATTTGTAGAAGGAATCAAACCATACAACACCAGAATTCTGGATCTGAGTGAGGTTTATTGCCACCGGAGCTGACAGGAAACCACACTGGCGAAAAACCAGGAAGTTCTTCAATTTATACAGGTTCTTCAATGCCTGCGTTCGCCCCCTACTGACCTACGGCTGAATCACAAGGATTCAGAAAAAATCCTCAGCTACTGTTCTCATAACGGTTGATTATGTGTTGTCATATAATTCGGACATGTAACTGAACCTATTTCAATCAAAACATAATAGATTAAACATTGTCAACATTACAAAAAGGAAAACCTAAAAATATAGTGTTGTGCTTTTAACATCAGTACTAACCTCTAATAACTTTAAATTTCTTCAATGTGTTGCTTTGGTCAATAACAACTATATTTAGTTGTTTAGTTTATGAAATTCTTCATGACATTGCTGATCGTCTCTTTGAGATCAGATAACATGACTAGAGTCACAAGGGTGACCTCTAGAGGTGAGTGCAGCATCCCACCCTAGGTTCAAGGTCACAAATCAAGGACAAATCAAATGTTTTACAAGGTATTTGCTTGTCTGGAACATAACTTTTTTTAAAAATTTATTTATTTATTTTTTTATCACACCAGCTCTAAGGTCAAGATAAACGGTTTAACAAGGTCTTTGCTTGTCGTACATTGGTACATGTTGTTTATTTTTATTTAATTATAATATTTTTTTGTATAATAGTTTATCGTTGGGCTTATCGTTAAAGCTTATATCTGCCGTATTCTGTACTCTATAGTTAAAATCTTCAATTTTGTTTCTGAACCTGTTCTCTGTCTGCCTGAGTTTGGATGTTTTTTTTTTCACATTTCATGGCAATCTGCGTGAAAAGGCAGTAACTTTAACTCTATGCTTCTTTTAGACGTGACTTCATGTACAGGTGAACTGTTCGTGTGAAATAAGCAAGAGATCCTTTCTAAATCTGTTCTCAGATTCAGAAACAAATATGGCCTTTTTCCCCTCTACACCAGGGAGACTAGTCAGATACCACCAAATAGCCAGAATAGCACAAGATGATAAATGCCAATGAGTAGATAAGAAGTGTAAAAGTCATACTTTTAAATAAAATTGGGTTTAGCTGAAAAACTTTAAAAGCGATTTTAACAATTAGCACCTAATCTGGAAGTCAAGATGCTAATTATATGAATCCATCAATAAAAATGCAGTTTGAGATGTATCAAAAACGATGACAAATATTTAATTTTATTATTGCCTTTCAAAATATAGATTGTGATGTTGTTCTCACAGGATAATAGAAAATAGAGGAATGTAAAAATGATGATATTAGACACGGGTAGTTATATTTTAAAATGCCTACAAAAATTTTAGTTCTGTTAAAATGATAAATAACAAGTAATTGTTATCCGTCATGATAGAAAAGTTCAATATCTTCTAAATTTTCGGTAATTGAGGGGCCTCTGTTTGCAGCAATGAACAAATGTTTGCTTTAGAAAATTTACAAATCCAGTTTTTTTAATGGAATAATGGTTTTAGTGGTTTTTGCTTTATGCAAAATGTTTTTCTTTCCAAATAGATTTAACCACTTTTCTGCTACAGGCTCAGTCAGATTGATACATGGCCTCTGATTACATTTACAAAAAACACTTTAATAGCTTGTTTAATAATTGATGTCATAAATACACAATCCTGATTAGACTGAAAGGTTTACACCCAGCCAACATTTTTATCCAAGTAGCAGCATTTAATCAAACCTGAGAAACCCAGAGAAAGCATGAAAAATCATTTTATTACTTTCAGTGTGAGAGACACAAACAACTTTCTCTCTGTTTGGATTCACAGAAGCCAGTCAGAACAACATCTGCAAGGTGCCCATGAGGTGAGTGACTGAGGAAAACAAGGGCAATAAACCGTTTACTACAAACGAAGAGAGAAACATCTTTCATAACAAAAATGTTCCTGAAATACCATGCTGTTTTAAAGAATAGACAGTGGATTAAATTAAATGTGCTTTTTGAGCTGTCAGTGATGTCGTTTGTCCTTACAGGAATGTTCACAAGAATGTGTTGAGACAGTCCGACTCATCGAGTCCAGAGTCAGGCTTCAGGAGGACTCACCCCAGTCCTAACACGAGGCAGAGGAAAGGTAGGAGAGCTCATGGACTGACAGTAATCTTCAGAAAATAGTTCTTTTTTTTATCTAACCTGTTGCATGACATTGTTTTTATTTTTATAAATGAAACTCCCTGCGGTCAACCATCAAACTCTTCTTTTAATGATTTCATTCTGTGATCCCTCAATTGATTCTGCAATGATTGTCTAATATTCTTCATACGGATTTGGGCCGAGCTGTTCTTAGTTTTAGTTCGATAAGAATTACTAAAGATGAACAGTGAGGATGAAAAGGCTAATTGGCTAAAATGATGCTAAAAACTGATGTTTGTAAGGGGAAGAGAGTTGTGGTCAGTTTTGTTCGGTATTGGAGTCACATTTAAAATATAATTAATTCGACACATCCTGAAGATTGTTTTTAATTATTTTACTTTTCCATGTCTACTAATAATTCCTTATCATGCACATAGTTCACACTGAATGATTAGGGTTAACGTCAGTAATGACTGGGTAAAGTTACAAATGATTGGTTTTAAAATGTTGGTTAGTGTTAGCATGGTTAGGATTATAAATGGTTGGTAGCTATGGTCAGAAATGGTTAGGCTGAGTTTGGAAATGATTGATCAAGGCTGGATATTGATTAGAATCCATTAGCTTTAGCAATTAGCTGTTAAAGTTAGTAATGGATGGTAAGGGTTCTTAATCGTTTATCAGGGTCAGGAATGTTCAGGTAAATGGTGTGAGAAGTGATTGGCTAAGGTTGGAGTTTTGTTAGTAATGGTTAGTTAAGGTTAAGGTTGGTTAAGATTAAAAATGTTTTAAGTTAATTTATTTATTTAAAAGAATAGTCCACAAAAATCATCTTTAAAAGAATATAAATGTGCCTGAGTTAGCACAGTGGCTAATTAAGATTTTATAGATGAATGTGAGGATTAGGAATGATTAAGAATATGTATGCAGATAGTTTTAGTAAGAATTGTTAGATGTATGGTTAAGGCTTGGAGCAATGGTTGCATACAATACAATGTCAGGTTTAGATGTTAACAAAATGCATGGTTATATTTACCCAAGTAACAGTTACAGAAACTTTGTGTTCGTAAAATGTAACCCTTGATTATAACTCTAGGCGTTCTCCTGTGTGTTTCGTCTTGTGGATCTGGACCAATAACCTTACAGTGATAAACAAAGATTTGTTTTTAGCAAAACATCCTTAGGAAGTTGTCTGAAATGGTGACCAAGAAATGCAAAACTAAAGGGTGTGTGGGCCGTGCAAGAAAAAACTGATTTTCCTTTTCCCAGTCGATGATGTAATGAAACTTTGCAACATGCAGCTAACCACAGTGCTCTAATCTCAAAACAGTGAGGGCTAATTGTCCGTGGGCAGAGAGGAGGGGAGACTTTGAGGGTTCAAATCAACATTTTTAAAAGCTGTTATCTTTTAATGTAAAGAGAAGAAATGTTTAACAACATGTCCATCCTAAAGCTCATATTCCAGCTGTATTCTGTTACCTCTCTGTTCAGTGAGAATGAAGAAACGGGACCATCTTTGGAATCACCTGTGAGACTTTTTCATGGCTCTCCAGTGCAGTCTGTGTGAAAAGAAGCTACAGACAGAAGCAGAGGATGAAACTAAAAAGAGCTGCAGGCTGGCAGACAGAAGGAGATGTGAGCTGAAAGAGGAAGATGGGCGGGGAGAGAACAAAGACAATAGAGGGCGGTGACAGTAGATGGAAGAAAGCAGGAATTGATTCAGCCAGTTAGTTTTTACAAAGGCTTTGGGAAGAGGTTTAATACAAAAAACAACAGCAGCTGTCTACTTTTGTTACCCTTTCCTGCAGTAGCAGCACCTGGGACTGAATGAGGAGTTTGTGTGTTGAAAAGGAAGAAGGGAGCAGGTGCAGAATGGAGAAAGCACACAAAACAGAGACGCACAACATCAACCCTTAAAGCTTATGGCTAATATTACTGGGAAAAGCAGTGTGCTCTGCAACAGTAGCTCTTCTTTACATGCAGCTGCTCCTCCTCCTCCAGTAAACTTGAACTCATCAATCACCCTCATGGTGCACTCAGACGTTGGATTTCTTTACGTTCCAACAATATAAAGCATTTTGTCGGCATTGTGCTGAAAACAGGGGCTGTCGTTGGTCCACAACAGTTTTCTGAGTTTGCATGTTCTCCCCATGCTTGTGTGGGTTTTACATCCAGGTGCCACCGTTTTCTCCCACAGTCCAGACTCCTGCAGGTTAATTGGTGATTCTAAATTGGTCCTAATGCGAGTGTGAACAGTTGGCCAATCAGCTTCTTAGAGATGGGCTCCATCTCCCCGTGACCCTCACAAGATCAGGCAGGTGCAGAAAATGGAGCAGGGGTGCCCAAACATTTTCCCTGAGAGGGCCAAAATTAAAATCAATCTGAGGGCCGCGGGCCAAATGCAATAATATAAGAAATGCAAATACTTAAGTAAAGTTGTTTTATTTTTTATGATTAAGCTAGCAGCCAGTGTGGTTGTCCACATTCTTTAGTTTTTTTTCCAGCCCATGGACATGGAGAAAATTCAACATATGCTCAGGCAGCAAAGACTCATGGGACTTTTCATCATTTAAAATTTGAGTATATGTGGTCTTATAAGGTGTGAAAATCAATATATGGGCTTAAATCTAATCTAAATATATTTTGTAGTTACTTGTATTTTATATTTAATCTTAACAATACCTGGTAACCAGGACAACTGCTGGTGGGCCAAATCAAATGGTTCAGCGGGCCAATTTTGGCCCGCGGGGCCCCACTTTGGGCACCTCTGGGATAGAGGATAAAAACTGTGTCTCAGTGTAAAAACCGTATTGTACAACTTTGCAGCTTTTACTGTAAAACTTCAGTGTTTTTGCATGGCGAGACACTGCAGCTGTTCCACGTTAAGCTGGTGTGGCTCATGACACAGTGTCGTTGAAAATCTTTTCTTGATTCAACTTTTTCGAAGATTTTGCTTTGTCTATGTTAAAGTTCAAATACAGTAAAAGCATTTCCTTTTAAACATACATTGTTGTTAGAGCTCTCAGTGTTGATCAGGGTTAGATTATCAAACCTGCTGATGTCAGCATATATCAAACTAGCTCTGTTAGCAGATTTTAGAGAGAGAAAGTTTGTTCCCAGATTTTGGAACACGTTCAAAAATCACAAGACAAGACTGCGCACAGAAAATGAGAAGCACCACAAATGTTTCAAGACATTTTAGACTCTCTCATGGCTGCTGTTCACTAACATACGATGGAGTATTAAGGCCACACAATGAGATTTTTTTTTAAATTACAAGAATAAAGTCATAATATTATGAGAATAAAGTCAAAATATTACGTTAAAGTCGTAATATCAAGGATTCAAGGAATCCAAGTGTGTGTGCTTGATACGTATGCTTTGTACCACTGCATTACAAATTTACCTTTTTGGTATAATGTAACCAAACCAAACCAAACCAAACCATATTAAGAGATTAAAGTCATAATATTATGGGAATAAAGTCGTAATATTATGAGAAAAAAGTCATTTTTTTTGCATTTACACAAAAAAGCATACAGTTACCAATGCATTAAAATGAGGAATGTTGAGCAACTTGTCAAGTTGTTCTTTAGTATCGAGTTAATCTTTTAGCACATTAGCATCAAATTATCAGCAGCAGGACTTGGAAATTGTGCAAACTATAAACTGAAGTTGTGTTGTAATTAATGGATGCATTGACAAATTTAGTTGTCATGTGTTTTGGATGAAAGCATATTACACTAACAGTGACCCAAGTCATCACAGACTACTGTATAAACACAGGCACATGGCTGAACACAGCAGGTGTGAGGAAAATAAGGAGGAAATGAGAAGCGGAAAATGGACACGTCGTGTAAGATTATGACGTTTTTTCTTGTAATATTACGACTTTAATCTTGTAATATTATGACTTTATTCTCGTAAAATTACGACTTTAATCTCGTAACAATGATAAAAGTCTCGTTATGTGGCCCTAATATTCCATCGTACTAACAACCTAAGTAAGTGAGTAAGTAAGTAAGTAAGTAAAGTTTTATTTATAAAGTGCCTTTCACAGAAATATATGCACAAGGTGCTGTACAATCATTAACAGTATAAAAATGGTGAAAAGAATAAAATGAAACAGAAAAACATAATTACACATAAGCAACAAAAATTGAAACATCAAATCAGGAATTAATTTCTAAAATTGTAAATCAAACACAAGGTCAATGCAGTTCAAAATATACAGTAATACACAAAAAACATAATGAGTGCAGGAGAGAAAATATGGCGTAAGTTCAATAGTAAATAAAACACAGATTGTTGAGCATTCACAATGGAGGTAGGCTGGCAGTAATGGTGAAATGGTTAGCTAAATGCTTGAGAGAAAAATTGAGTTTTTAGGAGTGTCTTGAAAGAGACGATGTTATTAAAGGAGCGCAGATTAACAGGGAGTTCATTCCAGAGCCTGGGGGCCACAGAGGAGAAGGACCGGTCACCACGGGTCTTAAAGTGAGTGAGGGGAACCATAAGGAGATGTTGATCCTGTGAGCGGTTGTTTAATTAACCTATTGAGATACTACAGCAAAATTAAGTAAGAAGTCCAGAGAACGATGTCATCCATCCATTTTCTTTCACCCACTTCTTACTTTCAGGGTCACTGTTCAAGGGCTGGGGTACACCCTGGACAGGTTCCAAGTCTATGACAGGGATACATGGAGACAAATCAGACAAACAACCATTCACTCTCTCACTCACACCTAAGGACAAATTAGAGTTACAAATGAACCTAACATTTATGTTTTTGGTCTGGTTCTGTTGTCATACGACTCAGGAAGGAGACAGGTTCTGTGTCTCAGAGATGAATGTGGTTTGGTGTGAAACGTGTCAACCTCCAAACCTCAACAAAAGACTTTGTGAAGTTTGTGCTTTGCGCTAGCGATGTTATAAAAAGCCTTTTTATTAGAATTCTGACTTCACAGTTGTCAAAGATCCAATTGTCTGAAACTCATCGGCTGCTTTTGCTCCTGTTCTGAACTTCTCCGCTCTAACTTCTGCTCCACCTTGCCTTGCTTTGCCACTCAGCTGACGCTTCAGCCAGCCGCTCAGTCCACTCAGCTGCTAATGCTAAGAGGTCTTTCACCTTACAAGGCCTTTCCAAGAGGAGGTCTCTTCCTGCAGGTAACTCTGAAAGTGCTTTTTATTCAGTCTTCACCGACATCATCATCATCACCACCAGCATCTCAGCCGAAATGATCCTCCTCGCGATCTGCTCTTTCCCTGATCACATCATCCCGTAAACAGCATTTTGTTTCTGTTCCTTCCACTGCAGTTGATTCACTCAGCGTTAATGACAGATATTTGTGTTCAACTCCTAGCAAAATGTATGGAATCAGTAGTCTCAAGTGCGGTGTTTGACACTGTTGATTTTTGAAGGGGAAAACAATCACAAGCTGTTTGGCTTTGTGCAACACACCTCTACAAATTGCTGTCAATTTGCTATTTTTTATTTATATAAAGTAATAGTTAAAAAGGAGAGATTTTTTTGTCAAAGCATTACTGAGTTTACTTTGTTTCCACCTTTTTTGACTAGAAGGTTTTGAAACATGAACTGAAAACCCTAAATAGAAAATCAGATTTGCTGGATGATGTCTCATAAATTCAAACCATAAGTTGAAGGAACCAACCTACAAATCTAATCTGACAGAGCAACCCAAGAAAATGAAACTTTTGAGAGCAAAGAGGTAAATACCACTAGAATGAGCCCTGTCTATCCTGTCCACTGTTAGCATCTGTGACAACACGGAGGAGTAAAAATGGCGACCAAACATCTGACATACTGTAGCCTCTTTCTTCCATGGTTGAGACGAATGATACAAAAGATTTGGACAGAGTAATGTAACAGGACCAGGACTTCCTGTTAGACAGCTTACGAGTGACAGACAGATGAGTAGACTTGTGGCTGGACTATGAGGTAAGTTAACTTCCTCATACTGAACAAACTCGGAGTAAACAATACACAAAACGTCACCTTCCTGCACTCAACCTGTCTTGACATTTCAAGAGTATTAGGAGTTTTGGAAGAAGACTTGGCTTTGGATGCTAAAGCCTTTCAGCCACACTAAGGATTACTGCTCAACAGTGAAAAGCACCTTCATGTTTTTTACAGTGAAGTCACAGGGGACAGGCTGATAGCTGATAGAAAACTCTGTATTCTAAATGAAAGCTGTTCCACTGTCCTGTTGCAGTAGCGTTGCATCATGTGCTGACACTGATGACAACGTATTACACATACAGTCAGTGACAGCCATCCATGGGAATCCTTGTACTCTGTCCTGATTTTACCACAACATAACACTTTAATGTCACTTTAGCCTTCATGGAGAAATGCAAATATGAGGCAGTCCTTGCAATTTTATTTTCTTTGCACCATCACAATGACATTGCGTTTCCAAGTACAACCATAAAGCTTTCTTTTGTCATCTCCTGTGGCCCAAAGCAAAAAGGGGTGATGATGTTTTTGCCAGTGTCTCCCATAAACCAACCAACTTTAATAAGACTCTCAGAATGTAATTATTTGATATACATGAAAACTTAATCAGAATTTAGAGTAAATCCAGTTCAAAATTGCCACCACAAGTAATTAACCTTAGGCAACATAAAAATGGCCTTAACTCAGTCAGAGTTATTAGATAATAAAAATAATTAGAAAAAATGTATACCTCCATAGTTCAGATTTAGTTTTCATTAGATTTTGATATGAACTAAATACAGTATTTTTTCTTGTTTACATGAACATAGTATTTTATTTTGCCCTAAAGTGTAAAGATAATAAACATTAAAATTCAATATATATTTTTAGTTTCATAATGTTTCCCAGATACATTTTATTAGTGAAACAAGGAGCAGAAATCAGTCTTTTGATTGGAAAAGTTGCAGACCCCTAAACTCTTGCATGAAAGGCGACGGTATGTGAAGCAGTCCTTCACATAATGAGAGCCTTTCAGATTCCTTATGTCGTATTTTCACATTTAATCATGTTTTGTTGTTGTGAAGTTTGTAATTTCATTTATCTTTGCATTATTTGAGAATACGCATGGATTTTATTGGATAAGTTCTTGCTTGTGGTTACTAAACTGTGAAACTAAACTTCACAAAAAAATGATAACCTCTCCCTTTCCCCTGCCTTTATCACACATTCACTAACTTTGTTCATTTAATCTGTTTTCTGTAGCTTCATTTCTTCGCCTTCTCTGACCCTGCACTCCTTTTTTCTTCTCACTGCGTGCTTCTTTTTTTTTTATGTCTCTTCTGTTCCTCTTCTTTGGCCGTAGAACCCACTCTTAAGGAGGCAGAGGTCCCCCGCCGCTTCTCTCTCACCTCCTCTCTCGCCTCCTCTTCCTCCTCCTCCTTTGCCACACGACGCACAAAAGGTACCCAGATAGTTAGCCATTAGTCTTGATGCTTGTGTTATGTAGCTTTTATTTTTTGTCAACACAACGTGTGCTTTTGGACCACAGAGAACCAGTTCATGGTACTTTGGTAGTTCACAGACATTTGGTTATGACTGACCTAATCTCACGCAAGAACTCATAATGTTCGAGTTGATCCACAGCAATTTTACAGTGGTAAAAATTGGCTTAGGGCATTTTAGTTGCTTGCATTGAAAACCCCTTAAAGCAGTGGTTATACGCTCGTTTACGCCATGGGCGTTAAGGTGGCCTTCAAAGTGCCTGTTGTAATAAACATTGTTTAACTTCAACTAAACATGAAACATTATGTTTCTCATCTCCTTGCTCCAGCTGAGCACCATTAACAAATAATAGCTGAGCTCTACATGGTATGTCCTGCATAGAAACATTTTTAACACATCCTAACTGAAAAGTATGTGCATCATTGACTAAACGTGAAATAAATGATACAGAAAAAATTAAAAGTAAAAACGAGAGTTTTACTCACTTTTGAGTTGGGGTGAGTAACTGCTGTCTTAAATTCTGTAAAATAATCGACATGCATTCTGGGAGATGTAGTCGATGGTGAATGCTGGCTTTAAAGCATATACACTTATTTTAAGCTATCAATACATCTTTAAAACTCTTAATTCAATTCAATTCAGTTTATTTATATAGCACCAAGTCACAACAACTGTTGTCTCAGGGCACTGTGCACAAAAAAAAAAAAAATAAAACAAAACAATAAATCTAATGAAGCCACCAGACTGCGCCGAATCTTCCAGGCCTTGAGTTTGACACGTGTTTAAAAGTGTTGTATGATTATGACATTTTAAAGAAATAGACATCGTCCTGTTACAACCACAAACTTAAAAGTATTTTACAGTGATTTCATGTCTTAAACCAACACAGAACTTCATCTTTTACCTGGCTGGTGTGTTCCTTGGTTTTCATGAACAGTTGTTTTTACACAGGTGTTTTTCACCTCATTGCTTTTACGTTTAGAAGTGAATCTGATTCTTCTGTATTCTAAACTATTTTTAACCATTTTGTTTTTACAAATAGTTAAATAAAAAAATCCAATGTAAACTATAAAAACCTGCTACGTTGAGTGGCAGCTGTAACATGTTACTGATGTTTGATGACCAAAAGGAGCTGTAAATGGATGTGTTTTGCGTAACTTTGTGTGTGGTTTTCATTTGTTAGTTTCTGAGTCAGTGTCTGGTTGCATCTTATTTGCAGGTCCTCTCTCTGTTAGCATTAAGAGCAAGAGACATGAGATAAAAAGTGACCCCACTCCGTTTGGTTACGAAGGTACAAAAATTGTGTTTTTTTTAAGCATGATGATTTGTGATTTGAGTTGTATTATTTCAGTTTCTGGTTGATGTCTGTTACTTTCTGTTTCCATTCTTGCTTCCTTTGTGTGTTGTGTTGGTTTGAGCAACAAATGAAGCAAGTTTAAGAACAAATGTTTCTTTGCTGCATGTTAGCTGTGGTTTAAAGTTCATCATCTTTAGTTTTTTTTTTCTTTAGTTTTGCATGAGTAGTACTCTCCTGCTCCAGAGCAGAGTGAAGTCAGTCACTAAGTATTTGCCCCGTTCTGTAAAGTGTTTGTGGTCCTCGGAGCCGTGCACATATTTGATAGTTTGACTTCCCTGCAGATACTTTGCGAGGTGCTGTGCCTTCAGTTGGGAAGCGTCAGAGTGTGATTAGCAGCAGTGCTACGGGTGCTGGTGGCACGGCGTTCCCTAGATCCACCTCCCAACCAGGTAACTGCAGGAACTCTGCTCCTCTGGCTGTTATGGCAGCTGATTTGAAGGGGAATTGATTTCAAGGTGGCAGATTTGGTTTTGAAAATGGAGACATTTTATTTTTAAATGGTGATTTTTTTTATTTCGAGGAAGTCCTCCTTTGTTTTATACTCGTTTACATTAACATTCATGTGTTTTAGCTTTTTGATAGCATTATAATGGCCTAAACTGTACAGGTTTGCCAGTGTATTTGTAGACGCAGCAGTGCCTGGCACTTATCACAAAGGATGAATTACACCTTCTGTCACATGCCTATCATCTTTTTGTGCAGGCACTGCAGCAGATTGCTAAATGTCTTTTGTTTCTGCTCCTGAGACACAATTACCAGCAGCTCTCAGGAAATGGTTAATTTTTCACGCAAACAGCATTTGTTTTTGACAATCCATTGCTTTACATAATTTACATTTACATAAATATTGGCAGCTTTTCCTCTAAATGCTGCATAATACTTTATTTAAATGTGGATAAACTGCACCGACACAGAGAGATGCTGTTCGGTTTGAGGCTCACTTTGTGAATAACACAAATGATTCAAATTTCCTTTAATGAATCTGAACCAGTGCGTAGTAAAAACTGACAATTAGCACTTGAGCTGGACGTTATGGAGGTATGCCTTCCTGTCCACCTAGCACCTGCTAATGTATATTATCTTATGTATACAATCGGATTTTCCAACTGGCACACTGAGACAACTGATTCCTCCATATTGTTCTTCTTTATCCCCCTCTGAACAAAGCTCCTACTTTAAATACCTTTTAAAGTTGACATCATAGCTGCTTTTTGGAACAGAATAAGCCTTTGCACAAATTAATTTAAAGTTGTATATTCCCCATAGCTTATTTTGCTCTTAAATACTTGAAGATCTTGAGATTAATTGATTATATGTAGCTCACTGTTTAAAACATGTGTTTCTAAGTGCTCCTGTTTTGTCTCAGAGTCAAAAGAAGGAAGCCAAATAGTGTTCAAACAGCAGCAATGTGTCATACCAAAATATTTGACCCCCTTCAAACTGGATGACTATAGCCCACAATAATGTTAAGAAACATAGATGGCCTCTGCAAGGTCTTTATGAGAATATTAAGAATACAGTGGGCTACACATTATAGAATGATAGGACTTCAGTGGTTTTCACTTCTGTATCAAGGTTGTAGAGGTTCATCAAAAGTAGTGCCAGATGCTAGATGGAGCATTGCATGCACTCCAGACACACTGGCACGACTCCTTCACTGAGAATCTGATGCCAGTCGAGATGAGATAAGATCATTTATTTTTGCTGTGTTAAATCTATTTCTGCTGGTTCAGCACAGTGGTGGGATGTAATTAAGTACAAGTACTTTCTTGCTGTACTTACGGTAAGTACATTTTTCATGTATCTGTACTTTACTTAAGTAGATTTCATCATGGGTGCTTTTGACTTTTACTCCACTACATTTTACATTAAGTATCTGTACTTTCTACTCCACTACATTTCTGTAATGCGTTGAATTATAAAGTACATTCATGTCACGTCGATTTATTTTTTATTTTATTTTATTTGTGGTTTATTTGATTTTTTTTTTGTTAGAAAATAATCAGTGGCGAGAGGGGGAATTGCTGTAATTGGTCCATTGAACAAAGCAGGAAAGTACCATTACACCCTCCTTCATAAAAAAGCAGAGCATCAGCATGCCCACACTGGTTTCCACCATGGAGGAAATGTGCCTTTCATGGCCTTATTTAACTGGTTCAAAAAATGACTTGTTGAGATTTGACAGAGGAGGTTGGTGGTGAATTTACATCTTCTGCAGCTGTTGTCACAATACGTGATGATGCACAGAATCACAAGTCCAAGTGTGAACAGTGTCACAGAGTGTAAATACAAAACTACGCATTATCTGCAGCTTTGTTCACTAAAATGGCACCATTGATGTATTAAAATATACATACAGTAGGCACACTTCATGATATTGTAGACCATTAGGGAATACATTAAGCAAGTACTTTTACTTTTAATACTTTAAGTATTTTTAAAAGCAAGTACTTACTTACTTTTACTCAAGTAAAATGTTAATGTGGTACTTTTACTTTTACTAGAGTACATTCTTGTCTGTTTATCTGTACTTTTACTTAAGTACAGTGTTTGAGTACTTTCTCCACCACTGGTTCAGCAGCCTTATCACCTGAGAGCTAAGGCTCTTGCACATTCTGGTTGTTCTTAATCAGGGACTCTAAAAGACTTCAAATTGATGCCGTGCACTGGTAGAAGAAATGATGGAAAAAATATATAGATTTGTGTTGAAATTTACCAATAAAAGGGGATGGGAGCAGGGGCACAGAGGATAGAGAGGTGAGCCTGTGGTCAGTAGGTTGTCGGTTCAAATTCCCTGTCCGTTATGTCAAAAATGGGTGGGTGGGAAAGGTAAAGCACCCGCACCTGCCTCCGCCCTTCTTTACCCCACTCTGGGCCCTTGAGCAAGGCTCTGACCTCCACCAGATGCTCCCCAGGCACCTAAGATAGCAGCAGCCTGCTCCTCACATGTGGGCTGTGGAAGCTTGGTGGTCAGTGGTTGTGTCAGGAAGGTCATCTTGTGTCAAATAGCACATTTGCCAAATCTTCGTGCGAGTTAGCTTGGTGTGGCAAATACCTGACGAAGAAACAGCCGGAAGACAGAAAAATACAAAATCACATTTAGCTCAGGTGGTCCAGCACTTTTAATTCAATTCAGAATCATTTCTATATGCATCACGATGTGTTGAAAAATGAAACGGACCCATCACTACAATCCTGACACAGTTTAAGTAAGGGTCTCAGCATGGAGTTGCTTGGTTGTGTGAGTGGAGTTTGTCCTAACTGTGATTGCCGCCGTCTGGATGATAGGCGGAGTTTGGGAAAAGCGTGATTGGTCAGATTGTCTTGTTTTGTGGGGCAAGTTAAGAGATGAATGAATGGTACTAGTAAAATTATTTTGAACATGTAAACATAATTTATTGACATCAAATTTCATGCAGCTAGCACCTTTCTAGTCTCGAATCATAGTTAATATCCATATTCATGTTCAAAAATCTTTTACCAGGCCAGTCAGGGCTGTTTTAATGGAGCTGAATTGTTAAACGTCCCTCCGCAGGTACGGTGTTTTGTGCAGCTAGCAACTTCCTGTCTCGAGTTGTGACTAAAAATAATGTTTATAATAAAAATACAGGTTATTTCTGGCCGATTTGACGGAGCTACATGTCCCACCAGCTGCCTGGGGCTTATCTAACCAAATCATTATTTTTCAAACCCCACCCAAAATACTCAATCTGACCAATCATGTCTTTAACAAGCTCCTCCCACACACTAAGAACCTCCCACTTAGTGACTGGAGAGACCCTCTTCTCATACAGTCTGAAAGAGTTGTGCCACGGAGTGTGGTGTGATCATAGTGCAAACAACTGTGGCAGTAACTTGATGGTAATGTGCTGCTGACGGCACATATGTGGAACATAAAACATTGCTGGAAATCCTATTGGGTGAAGACTAGCAATGCAGCAAGCTCAATATCGCCTAAGAGTTGAAGGAAATTTTGTCTAAATTTCCCACGACCCAGCCATGCTTTAATAGGTCTTGCAGGTCATGGCAACCTACAAAAAAGGCTTTCATTATCCCGAGTGAAATGGGCATGACGTGGAATGTGCAATAGGTCTCTGAAAATAATCATTTATTTCTGGTGTGAGCGAAACAAGCAGTGAGTCACCACGGAAATGTGCTCAGAGACTGGTTTAAAAGCTTTCAGTCATTCTGTGTGAGAGAAGGGTTTAATTTTGGTAAACTGATTCACTGACTTTTATGATGGTTAAAAAAAACGACCCACCTGCAAAACGAGGACGCTTTTTCAGAGAGCTATTATAGTAACTCTGTTCTTTTGACCGCCGACCCTCCAGGCTGGACTCAGAGACGTCTCCCCTCCATGGACACAGAGGACTTTGAGACGATTCCCTCCAGTGCAGAGGAGTCCTCCAACTCTTCTGAGGATGAAAGCAACAATAAGAACGTGAGTAGCTGAAAATGTGTTTAACCTGGACATGACTTGGATCACGCTTAATTAAAATGAGTCATGATGGTTTAGCTGAATCATGTAGACTTTTATTTAAATCATCATATTTTTATCACCAGTCAGTCACAGTCTCTGTTAACAAAATACTTTAGGGCCCACTGGAAAAATTCTAATGAAACTCAAAGTCTTCAGTGGACGTAGATCTACAACTGACTGACTTTTGGCCTCATTCAACACTGGTTCCACAACAAACAATATTAGCCTACACAAAATGATTATAACTCAAGGTTTTACAAAATTTGAACCAAAAACAGTTGGGTCAGTGGCTGAAAATCATTCCCAACACCATCTTTCGAGCACAAACTGATTTGGCAAGATTTTTTCTGTCATTTTGTTAACTTCTTGAGCCCCATGTCCCCAATACTGTGGTCAAAACTGCACTTCCTGTTTTCTATTTCTTTTAACTTCTGTCAACTCACGATCTGTCATTTAAACATAGACATGTTTAGTCTCTACAGAAATGCCATAATCCTTTGTAAAAGCTCATAAAAACAATTTCTACTTCCACCAAACACTTACACTTCTGATGAAATGTTCCTAGTGTTAGCTTTATTTTGATACTAAGATTATTTAAGCAGAGTTTGTAAATGCTGAGATACACTCAGTTACATTTGGGCATAACTTTTTGAGCACAAATTTTAAGAACCCCCCCCTGCAGCTGAATTAGAGTCAGTTGTGTCTGTCTTCTGATGATGTGGATGTACATTCAGGGGTAGACTGGCATATGGGAGCACTGGGGATTCTCCCTTTGGGCTGCTAGGTTATGGGCTGTCGGGCCAGTGATGGTTCAGCTCATGGAGGTGCTGTCCTTCCAAATTTTAAAAAATGAAAACTGGACCGTTTGAGGCAAACTATACCTTCAAGCAATATAAAGAAAAAGAAGCATATTCATCATTTTATAGGTATAATGATGCATTTATGACTCTCAGAAATAATGTCCTACCATTACTTTACAGTACTGCCTTCCTTGATCTGGTGCTAAATTATCCTGCTTATCGTTCATGAGACATGAGTTTGAACCCCCATAATCAATGCTTTGTTTTATTTATTTTTCTACACAAATCAAAATGTTTTAGCTTTTTTAAAAAAAATTTTGTGGAAACATATATTTCTGCAATGTTTGAAGTGATTTCTGATAAGAAGGGAAAAAAGGTCTTGTTTTATAATTTTCGTAGCTCATTGTTTATCTTGAGAGACACCACAATAAATCAATAAATGTTTTTGTTTGATTTATTGGAGTCATTTATCGGACATATGTCTTCTACTTGTTGTCTACTAGTTGAAAACAGGCTGTACTGTCATACAGTCCCAGGCCACCTTTTCTTCCCAGTCTGTTCCTGTGTACATCCACTACTGATTTACTTCAGGGGTCACCCCATTTCAAAATGGCTGCCCCACCCAACACACGAACAGGACTATAACTTTGTCAGTTTTACAAATATTGGCTAAAATTAGGTGAAGTATTAGCTGATGGTACACTCAACACATACTCCTAATGCTAACTAATTTAAACATTTTGTTTGAATTATGCCAAACATTGACCAAAAATATTACAGCTTTGCCATTTCGATGTCAGATGATCTAAAATGTACATATTTAAGAGAATGATAAAAAATAGTTTTTTGAAGGAATATGGAAAAGCCTAATGTGAATCCATATGAATTGTTGTTTGAGTTGATGTTTTTATTTAACTTTGTTTTATTGTAAATTACTAATGTTTGAATATATTTTTTTGGGATAATAGGGGCAGATATTATGTTTGTTTTTCTTTCCGCTGCCTTTCATTTTATTTGATCTTTGATTTGTAAATTTTTACTTTCTATTGTATATATTTATTTGTTTTTAATTAAATGACTAAATTTCTAAATAAAATCAATATATAAAACTCTGGTATGAAAGTTGGCGAAGGGTATACATTCCTTTAACGAATGCTAGGCATTTAATTCAGTCGTTTCTAATCATCTCTCCACTTTCTGTTCGTCTCCACTAAGTCCTCTTTTAGTCCTCCTAAAATTAGACCTCTACCCAGTTTAATTACTTCCTGTGGACTTATGTCTTGTTAGCAGTTGGCACTGACCACCTGACATTTAAGAAATGAGGGAGAGACGGAGGGGGGAGAGGACCTTACTTGCACATAGCTAATGGAGGTGTCAGCCTCTCTAAAGCCATTACACGTTGTGTGATGCGCAGTAAGAAGCCACACACAAACACACAGAGTGTAGTAACACACACACACAAACTGTGTGAGCCAAGCTAAAGTAAAACAGTTGTTTATCCACAGATGCTCATATTTCTACACTGATTGGATGGTATCATTTCTTAATGCTAAAAAGAATAAACGTATCTAGTTTCAAATGAGATTTATTAATTTTTTGTTGTTGTTGATTGTTTCACCTGTGGTCAGCAATGGGTGTACCTGAAGGAATTTATTAGTCAGTTAGACACTGATTCAAAAGCACCACATCATTTTCTTAGTTTTCCTTTTTAAGGCTTGACTTTTATAATCTATTGTTATGTCTTGATTAAAACAGGGTTAGTTACATGCCCGAAACACCTTGACAACACATAATAAACCATTAATAAAAACATTAGATTAGCATTGCTGTTCAGAGTATGTTCGATTCTGCCGTAGGCCTGTAGTGGGCGTACCAGGCACTGAAGATCTCTGTAAATTATAGACCAGTACTTCCGGTTTCGGACAGCAGTGCTCTGATTGCTTCAGCGTAAGCACTGAAACTCGCTCGTAAACCAGATCTGGGTTGTATGGTTCCATTCCCTTCACATTTTAATCTATTCAATATTTATGTGGTTTCGTCACGATTTCAGTTAACGAACATAAAATATTCTTACATACCTATAGGGTATTTGGTTACACAACACGTTATGCCTTTGATATCTTGTACTCAGTGAAGCTTGAGACAGGGCCATGCACTGGATCACCTCCGATAGATTTGTAAGGACAGCACCTATAATTATCTACTTCTAAATGTGTTTTTTTTTTACTTTATTTTTTCTTTTTCTGTCAAACTAAATGCAGCCCAAACAGAAGACTGCAATCAACACAATTTATACATTGAATATCTCGGGCATGAGATGTGTACTATTTCTTTTATTGGTGTTTCGAGTCACCAAAAATGACTCTAAAATAAACCCGAAAGGATTGTGTGTGGAATGCTTCAGATCAACTCTGGTGTGGTAAAATTCGGCTGTACTTGTGCTAAAAGTCTTCTAACCTAACAGTTTAGTTAAAATTTCAAAATAACCACCAAAGGCAACATAAAAAGGCCATAACTCTATCATTTTTTGACTTACTGAGTTAGTCAGTAACTTCCAGCAGCATCCCCAGTGCAAACACTTGCCAAACATTCTATTTTATAATTTTTTTTTACCACAGTGATTGAACTCGCATGAGAATTTGGCAATTGTTTCTTACGCCGATTGCAACCATTGACTGAGCTACTACAGCCCACACATGTGTAGCCGAGGTGGTTATTTAATGCACACAGGGGCCTTATTCAAGGGCTTAAGCTGATATAACGGTGGAGGCAGATGTTGTTGCTTCACTTTTTATGCCCAAAAAGTGTGATGTAATAAAAATTCCTTCAAGGAATGGCAACTTTGGATCCAACCCATTCTCGTTCCCAACTCGTCACATATTGACCCTTGTCCAGGATTCCCTCTGAGTACGATTATTGACAAGATGAGAACAAGGAGGAGAAACCCGTTGTCATATTTTTGAAGTGTAGAATATGCATGACAACTAGCTGTCCCAAAACCCTAAATTTAACTTCTTTCATCAATTTCCCTGATCTCAATACCTAAAATTAACCATTAACCCTGATAGCTAATTATTAACCACAGGCCTCAACCCAAAGACCCTATGTTGCGCAAACTCGGAAAAGCCCTGTGTGTCAATAACTGACACGAGTGTCAATATGTGACAAGTCGTGAGTGAGAATGTGTTATTTGATCTAACATTTCAACAGGCTCACCTTCTCTAACTTTTGTACCACCACTCCCCCCAATACTTTCTTAGTTCAAAATTCAAAATGGCTGACATAGCCAGCATGAAAATGACTATATTTCATTCATTTTTAGAGATAATGGGCTGAATGGTTGCAGCTGCCAGGAATCCAGAAGACATGCTGTGACTGATAATAGATCCTTTAGTTCTTTGGGCCAAACTTTTACACAAACCATTGGCAACAATGTGTTTGCTAAATATCTTCTGAAACATTGAACAGATTTTAATGGAACACTCAGAAAGTCACGGTTATATGCACAAATCCACAAATGATTAACTTACCGGTAGATACATGCCATACCTGGTCAACGTTAGCAAACACAGAAATGACTATAACCCTATCAACTTGTGTTTTGGAGCAGGGTAAATGCACTGAAAGTCATTTCTTTCTGCAGGGTAACAGCAGCCGATATCGGGTCCAGCTGACCTATGCGTCATGTGAAGCCAAGGAACTCTCTCTGGGGACCAATGAGCTGGTCCAATTTTTGGAAGAAGCAGAGAATGGAAACTGGTAAGTTTTTTTTGTTTGTTTTGTTTTCTACTGTGGCATCACAGTTTCTTTGGGTGAATGTTTAAGTCCTGTCCTTCCGTCAACTCTTTTCTTCTTTAAAGAACCTGGAAGCATTTTCATCAAATTGGGTGGTATTTTGTGGCACGAGATTATCTGATCTGTTACATAGGAAGTGCTTTCAGTCCATGTAAACTAACGAGTGTGATTTCCTTTGTCTCTGAAAAGTTTTCCTTCCTGATGGGCAAGGTGAAAATAGAGCCGAGGGCTCATGAATGCATCATCAGTAGAACCTTTAGCATGCCTTGGCAGAAAAAAAATCTAAGGAAAAATTTGAATTACATTAATATTAAAACATGTTTTTAAGATAAACATGATGTGCAACTAGATGTAGCTTTGCTACTTAAAAAGCATATTCAAAACCTCTCTGAAATACAAAAGGTTAAACATTAAACATAGCACAAAAGTAAGGAAAATTGTATTAGTTGAATGTTTTTGTAACAATACCTTTTGATAATACTTGTTGGCCATAATTCTTATACTATTGGAAAGCCTGTTGTTTATTTTTTTTTACATATTTATTATTTGAAAATGCATTTGTTGGTTGAGCAACAGAATAGAGTGTGTGGGTTGCACTCGTGAAAATACTTGCCAAATCTTCTCTGCCAATTCCAAAAAGTTATTCTTCTATTGACTCCTGTTTTAAGCTTCTGGTACCCCACGTACCTGATTGGAACAAACTGGAGACATTTCAATGAAACTCTCAGAAAGTGATTATTGGTTGTACATCTAACTGATTTAACTTTTGGAGTCAACCCAAATCGACATTGCCACCACAACAATGGCTATACCTTTAATGTGTTTTACTGATGTTGAACTAAAGTTTGGTGTGACTGAGAGTCATTTACAAGAGACACAAGTGCAACCAGATCATGCAAGATACGTGATCTGGTTGATCTTGGTGGTTTAATAAAATTGTCTACCTCAGCGCTCAAGATGATTGTAGTCTACAACCATGACATGAAAGTTAAACAGATGATAAGCAGTCCTTCAAGCGATGCAAGCACTTTGATTTTATTGAAATTTTGTTTGAGTGGTCCACTTTTACTTGTAATCAAACCTCATTTCACAGCAGCCTTAGTTAAATCTTCATGAGTCTCTTAAACGTAGTCCATAATAATCAGCCAAGCACTACCAAAGGGGAAAAAAAATCCTGTTTTCTCCCTGGAAAGATTGAAGTCTCAGTGTGACTACTGAGAATTAAAATTTCATTGACTACAACTTCGCTGTGATTAGGCAGAAGGAGACTACATTTGTTACTAAGGAGGTGTCTCCAAACCCAGTAGATTTGAATGAATGCAAAACCTGCACTGTAAAAAATGAAATGTTGGATTTACTTAATCATGTTATGTTACCTGGTTCCACTTAACTGAGCTGAGTAAATTCAAAGCAATATACCAGTTTTTTAGCCAAAGAACATGAGTATTTTGCTTTGATTTTACTCAACTCAGTTAAGTGGAACCAGGTAACATAACATGGTTAAGTAAATCCAACATTTAATTTTTAGAGTGTGTTTTTCACCCCCACCATCGCTGACTTTACCTTAAATCTGACAGACGAAACAAAGAAAGAGCTGCCATTCTGGTCAAACACCCTTCAGAGTTCAGCTGAAAGACGGTTTTGGTTTCTTCTTGGATTTAGAAAGGACTAATCCTCTCTTAGATGAAAGCCCACTTGCTTTAAACGTGCTCATTTTTCATCAGCTCATGCATATTTCAGCTCCTAAAACCGTCTCCTGTCGTCTTCATCTACTGCCTTTTAAAAGGTCTCTCTCACTCATACCCATACTCTCCTCCACGAGGAACATGAAGAATTCATGAGACTCCTTTTCTCTTGGATCCTCTTTGTTGGATCCAGTGGAACTGGTAAACCATCTGTATAGCATACACACCATAATGTATGCTGTTAGCACATGAGGCAGGCTTCACAGTCATTATTCCCTGTCACCATTAGATGAAGGCAGGTGATGAGGCTGTTTTGCTCGTGTCTCTGTGCGTTCATCAATCAGAATCAGAACTCAATTTATTCACCAAGTATTTTACATACAATAAATTTGATGTGGTGTTGTTGAGGTGCAGAATATGCAACATGCATAAAGGAATAAAATTAAAGAAATTTAAAAGAAAATTATGAAGTATATACAAATAAAAAGCCAAGAGAATATAAGGGGGTATTCACACCAGGAAAGTCCTTTGGTTTACTTGTTTGGTCTTGTTATGGAAAAATTTATTTAACAAAGACAGAAATACATGGTCCAAAAATAAAAAGTACTCTGTGGGATGGTCAGCTGAGATTTATTGCAACAACAGGAAACGCAGAGAACAACACTGAGCCATCAGACTGTCCCCCTGCTCTCTGCTTCTGCTCCTGCCTCCCTTGAGGCAGTTGAGGCCTCATATATACTGTTTAACAAACACTATTATGTCATCTTCATAAAGCAAGATTTCATCCTAAGGAAATGCTGGGTCAAGAGAAAACACAAAGAAAAACACAAGTGATATCTAAGAATGATTGTTGTTAGTAGATCTTTTCTGAGTTTAATCATTCTATCTGCTGATAAACAGCATGTCATGAAAACCTAGGTCATTAAAGTATGCCATGAATTACTGGCTTATACCTAACAGTATTATTTCTATAACAGTCTGGACCAAAAGCAGACTGTATTTTATTTGTTTGGTGCAGTTTGCATTCACATTGTGCTTTTTTGTGAGCAGACTATAATTAATAAAGAAAGTCACGTGGGTGACTATCATTGCTCCCATTAGACATAAAGGATGGAACAGAGAACAGATCTGGAAAGAAAGATGGTGCTGTTAACACAACTGCAAGACCATTTAGAATTTCAAGAGCTGCTCATTTAAAGGAGGTTTCATGATGATATACTTAAAATTTTGGGATGACATTGGCAAATATGTGCTGCAAATCAAAGGGGATGAGAAGCTCTTCTTTCCCTGACCCACGATAAGCTCATTGTTTGTAGCATGGTGATAACGTTAGCAACACTGAAGGGCTACTTGTTACCATGTTGCAATGGTGGCTCTTGAAGTCCAAAGAGGCGCACATTTCCTGTAGTTGGTTAGGTTCAAGACACGTCTGTATTCACACCAGAAGTGAAACACATCAGTTTGTTTGGAAATGGACCGAGACCACCTCAAAAATGGGTCTGTTTGGTCCATACTAGGGTTGGCATGAGTGTATTCACACCTGCATAAAAGACCCGGACCAACTGGGGAAATGAACTCTTGTCTGTTTAAAGCAGACCAAATGCTGTGAATACACCCTAAGGATATAGACTGACGAACTTCACGGAAACTAAGATATTTGCTGTGAACTGGCAGTGCAAAAACAGCGAGTAGTGGACCGCAACGTCCTGCTGGAAGGGAGAGACACAAAGAGTTTGTGCCCATGGTGGGAGGGGACTGCAGGAATTTTACCTGCACGCTTCAGTGTCCAGGTGGCATGCAGGTGGCAACCAGTCACCTTCTCTGTAGAGCAAAGGATACACTGCAGCCTGCCCTTGTTCTTGGCGGTGACAGCCATCAGATGGTGATGGAGGAAGTGAAGATGGACTCTACTGTATGATAGCTGTGTAGACGTGCACAATCATAATCTTTGGCAGATTGAACTGCTTCAGCTGCCACAGGAAAAACATCCTCTGTTTGGGCCTTTTTTAATGATGGAACTGGTCTTCAGCTACCACTTAAGGTCCACCACCATCACCCAGGACTGCAGGGTGATGGAGGTGGAGGACAAATAGTTTTTTGACATTTCAGCAGATTAAAAGGACATATTGAAATAAACACTGGGCCTCATGCAAGAACATGTTCGTATTCTTCTCCTAAATTTCTCTTACTTTTGTTCGTACAAAGGGTTCGTACGAACATGTCACGTCAGATTCAACAAACTTTTCTATCTTCAGGAAAAAGATGTAAATGAGCTGCGTAAATTCCACCTGTTCGAATCAGCTCCTCGTGCACGCGAGAGGAGATTAGCATAATTACCACCACAAAAACACCATATAAGGCTGTGTTTCCTGCCTCAGATTTTCATTTATTCAGAAGATACAGCACTGCGCACCGTACCCCCCCCCGCGTGCGCGGTCTCAAGTGGTCTCAGTTGTGGGTCTGAAATAAGCATTTTAAAATGTTTTCCAAATATGTCTGACACTTTGGAGAAAATCCAGGAGTCGCTGGAGGGATTATATCCCTTCTGGCCTGGGAACATCTCGGAGTCCCCCAGGATGAGCTGGAAAGTGTCGCTGGTGAGAGGGCAGTCTGGGTCTCTCTGCTGCTGCCCCCGCACCCAATAGTGGATAAGCCGGCCGGACGGACAGTTTATATTGTTAGTCTAAATTATTACATTTAAAATGATAACTCTTATTCAAGCAGAATAGCCTATTGTCAACATAATAATGGAGTGTAATTTATTTTCAACTCAAAATATCTTCAAACTAACGAAATATAAAGTTATTAGGGAGGAAAACCCGTCTGGATAACAGCAGACTGACTGCTCGTAAAATGTACGACAGGTCTGGACCACACGTGAATTTTGTTCGTATCCGAGAAAAATCTTAGAATACGAAAACATTGGTGAATGCCACAAATTCTCCTAAATCACTCGTACACACAACTTAAGAACAAATCTGTGCATACGAAGGGTTCTTGCATGAGGCCCATTCTTCATGAGCAAGCATGCAAACATCACAATATACTATATACAATATACAGTACTAGATGTACACAGTGCAGCATAGACTGGGTAGAGTGCTATATATGGACAGTCCTGAGTAGTTGTGGTGTGTGTGCAGTTCAGTCCATTGGTATAGTACATGATGTGAGTGAGTATGTGTTCGTTTGGGGATCTGTCACTTCTTGTGTTTGTCTGTTACCAAAAATTATGAAGCATTAAAACAAACATTTTCAGACTGTAATCATTGGATCTACATTATTTGAAGTCAAACTGCGTCAGTATGGCTGCCACGAGCTGAGACTAAAAACACAAAAGTGGCAAAAAATTAATTGGTTTTACAGATAAACGTTCGATAGATTTTATCTAACATTTGGTATAGCAGCTGAGACTTTTAAGTGTGACATCTATCTTAGTCTAAAATCCTGGTATGAAAGGTGGCAATATGCACTGCTTTAAGAAATGTTTTCATTTTGTATCAGTTTATTTTGTTCAGTGTGGGTTGGGCATCGTCTCACATGAACACTGTGTTACTGACAGTTTTCTGACTCAACTCCCTCTTGTATTTCCAGATGTCTTCAGTGATCCGTGTGCAGCAGCGCTCTCTAACTCGGAGAGACATGTCTCAGGACTACAAATACATATGGCGGACTACTGTAGTTCATTTAGCTTTGATCCCAAACTTGGACCAGAGCTTCCAACAACAGTCTTTAAATTGTAATTTTTCTATCTGTAGACTGATGGACAAATTTTAGACTTGGTTTTGCTTTTCAGTTGCAGATTCTTTTTTTTTTTTTTTTTTGGACTTTCTGATGGAAGCAAGACTTCGGGGGTAAAAAGCTGGAACTTTAAGTCACCTGAAGAGCATATTTGTGAAGCCACGGTCTATTTTTAATTAGCGAGAGCAGCTGTAAGGAACTGACAACTCTGCAGGTTCTGGACACAAAATGGAGTTAAACCGTTGGATTTCTGAAAATATATAACCTTTCTTTGATCTGGATAACCTTTTTTCAGAGCTGCTCTTTTTGCTGCTACTCATACCCACAAGCTGAAGACTTTCAGACTAGATTCTACCATTTCAGCCTCACTATCAGTGGTTTCTAGAACATTCAGAATTTGTATTTATTTTGTTGAGTTCACGCACATCCTCCTTTGCTAAGCCTTTCATCTTTTGATGGTGGTCAGAGGGTCCGGTGGCACCGGTGCATGGCAGCCCCACCTCTGTCAGTGTGTCCCAGGGCAGCTGTGGCTACAGTGTAGTTTGCCATCATCAGTGTGTGAATGTGAGTGTGAATGGGTGAATGTCTGTTAGTGTAAAGCGCTTTGGGGTCCGGAGGGACTTGAAAAGCGCTCTATAAGTTCAGTACCATTTACCATTTACCATTTTGCACACCTTATCACCTCTGAACAGTCACATATTTGCTTGTGTTTGTGTCTTTTATCAAAATGTGTCATAAAACACTGGGCAAACTTAATAAAACTTGCAGATAGTAATAATCATTGGCTGAACATCTACGACTAATTAACTAATCAACCCAACTTTAAATGGCCACCGTAGTTAATCAAACTTAGGCAAACAGAAAAATAGCTACAACTCAGTAAAAATTACAGATATTGAGCCAAAACCTGATACTCTGAAGATAGCATCTGGCGATTGCACATTAATTTTTACTGACTTTTTTTTTAAGGCTTATCCAAAACAGCTACAAACTGTCATTTTTCAACACAAGCTATTCTGTCTAAAATTTTAGATCTGGTGAGTGATATGTGTTCATTTGACATCATGCCTTTGCTGACCACTCATCCCTGATTGCTTCATAAATCAAGAATCAGTGGTTCAAAAGATTTTAGAAATGTTTGATAAAGAAGAAAATTAGTGATGTGCTCAAATCTAATGTCTGATTTTTATCTGTAAATTCTGAGTTGAAAAAGTGATCTCCACTCTTTATTTGTCATCAGAACCTTCCTACAGTTATAATACCCACAATCACGCCATGCCGCATCCTTCAGATTCTCAGATTGTGCCTGGATACAGCTTACTCTTACTTTGTCCTTCTAACGTCTAACAATGTCCTTTTATCACACAGTCTTTAGTCCCGGTTGGTGCTTGTCTTTCCCTTTGCTTAAAAGCTTGTATTGGTGTCCATTTTGGATTCCTCTGCTGTATCAGTCCTTAGTTATTAATTGGAATAGAGTGAAAGCCATGCTGTTGCTACTCCATCGTTTTTCTATCTGTAGCTGCGTTTCCATTGCAAATGTGCGCAAAAGTTTGTCGATATTCTGTTAATGTTGAAAAACAGTTTCGCAACTGCAGTGCTTCCATTAAGTAAGAAATGCAATTAAAGTCACACGTGAATTTGTTCTTGCGATAAGTCATTACAAACATGGCGGCAATGGATGTAAACACATAGCATGTTGCTACCGCAACACTAGCGCTTATCATCAGAGGAGACGTCAGCGTCTTTTATCGAGGATTTCCAGCGACAAGCCCCTACTTGCTGTTTTTTTTTTGGGGGGAAATTGTAGTTGGTGAGTTCACTATTTTCTTTTACAACTTCGGTGATTTTACTGCTACTTCTACTTCCTGTTTTCTTCTTCTTCATCATCTTTTTCGCCAGTAGAAACAGCTGATTGTTGATCACGTGACTCCCGTGATGCGACAAATGTGTTTCCATTGCAGTTTTGCGAAAAACAACAAATTCGACACGGCAGAAAAACCACCTAGCGCAAAAACATTTTGTCAAAAAACGTTTTTTTTTTTTTCCGAAATTGACGTGTTTCCATTGAGCAAAATTATTTTCGAAATTCTAATTTGTGCATTTTCATGGTCAATGGAAACACAGCTACTGAGCTCAGGATGAATGAGCTCAGACCAGTTGGATCCCATGCTGACAACGAATCACACGTCTCTCATTTCCCTACATGAAAACATTTGTGCACCCTGACTGTAGCCCCAACACAGAGCTTGATGAGTTTGTCTCTCATTTGTTTGTACAAAGTGCTCTTTTGGCCATTATAGAGCCACTTTTTCTTTGACATGATGGCACCATTCGGAGTTGGAGGTACAGCATCCAGTTTTGTCCTCACTGATCTTCCATTGAGAAGCTGAAAAGGGGATTCATCAAATGTGGCATGGTGAAGTAGCTGTGAAGCATTTAAGTAATCGCATGCTTCCTGGGTCTGCCTGAATGGTGCCTTTTTGCACTTTAATACGGAAGGATGTAGAAGTTCTCATGTCCACAATTAACTCCAGGACCTGGGCGTTTCCTGGTGGTGCTTCAACGTTCAGTTGACATGAGATTTTTATCAAATGCTGCAGGCATCAGCTGAACCTCATTAACAAACAGTATTGCTAACTCAGGAACAATTTTGTTTCTCGCTACAGCCACAGGTAATTTGCATACTTTGGTGAAATGTCCCTTTTTCTTGCAGCTATTACATTTTACTTTAGCAGTGGAGCAGTTTTTTTTTGTTCATCCCTTATGTGTTTATCAGATCCACATCAGAAGCAGTGATATTGCTGTTTATAACAGGTGAAAGTTCACATGGTTGATCTGATCTTCCTCCTCTCTCCTCAAAACTGACAATTTGCGGCATGTACATCTGTCCTGCTGCAGGCAGCGGAGCATTTTTAAACCCTGCTTTCACTTGACATGGTTAGAGAACACATTAACTTTGGCTACAAATTGTCTTTTAAGTGCAGCCATGGCTTCATTTAATGCTATACTTTGCTCTAGCAGTGTGTAAAAAAGACATTGTCCTTCTGGACCCAAGCAGTGTAAATAACAATAAGACCCTAGACCGGAACTTAAAAGTTGAAGCTGGAACGAGACCAGCTGCCCTGTCAGCTCGTTTCAGTACAAGTTTGAAGTCCCTCCTCTGTGTAAACAAGTGGGACATTATCCTTGTCAAGATGATAAGTAACAAGGAGAACACAGGCATGGACCGGATATGGCATTTTAGATAAACAATGCTCAACTGAAACTGAGGCTGGGACTAATGGAACAGGGAACAGGTGCAGGCAGACTGGAAAAGTACTGAGGGAGGAAGTGGCTGGTGGCACAAAGTAACACTGAAATTGATCAACTTAACACAAGAATCACTTCAAAACATAAACTATCATAAAACACACAAAAAATTAACAAAAACACAGATCCTGACATTTTTTATGCTAATTGACAGTCAAACATAAACTCATTTTTTAAATGTTTCAGTCATAATTTTATACTTTTTTCCTCTCATGTTTGGTCAGCAGATGTTCAACTGCGTGCAATACAGAAATGATTGATGAACAGTTTTGAGTTTGCATGGAACAGCCTTTTGCTCTAGGGTGAAAAACAAAAGGTAGTTAAACTAAATATCACAACTCAATGCAAGTGATCCTGTTTACATTACCAGACGTTTAAATGGCTCATTTTCACATAAAATATGTTGATTGGTTCAACATGTGCACATTTTACAATATCATGGACACAACATTGGAGGAAAATCTTGTTTTGAAACAGATTCCTATATCAGCTAAAAGATAGCTAAATCACTTCCCCAGCAGAAAAGGCTTGTCAGAAATAAATCAAGTGGAATGTGTTTTTCATTTTGTTCTTTATGCATTCACAGTGAGAAGCACTCAGAGGGGCCAGATGGCTTTTAAAGGAAATGATCATTTCTGTTTTTCGGAAACAGATTTATCTCTGTGACATGTTCTGCTCCATGTCCCAGAGATAAACTCACACTCATTTCTACATAATGAGATTTGGTTGAAACCATTTCACACTTTGAGTTGTTGTTTGCCTGCTGCACCTACAGATAGGACATGTTCAAACACGAGCTGTTAAGATGAAAACAGAAAATATCCCAAACAGGTCATTTTTTTTGTTAGGAGAGCTCAGTATGAACAATATTTTATATAAATACCTCCTGATAACTCATTTCTGCATGTTTTATAGGATAATGCATTGCATTCAACAGGAATCAGATTTATTGTTTTACATCCTGACAAATTACCGAAGGATTTGAGCATCAGGTTTTTCTGCTCAGTGTGACCAATGAGTCAGTTTTACAACAGTATTTATAAAGCCTTAAATATCCTTGGTGATGATTTAAAATAAGTTGTTTTAGATGGATGGATGCATGGATGAGTGGTTGGTTGGTTGGTTGGTTGGTTGTTTGGTTGGTTGAAAGGTTGAAAGGTTGTGTGAACTGATAAATGGGTCATTACTTTGATGGATGGCTGGAGGAAAAGATGGATGGTTGGTTGAATTAACAGATGAATAGATGTTGGATGGATGGATGGATGGATGGATGGATGGATGGATGGATGGATGGATGGATGGATGGATGGATAGATAGATGATTGACTGGTTAAACAAAAGAATGGTTGGTTGGTTGGTTGGTTGGTTGGTTGGTTGGTTGAAAGGTTGGATGAACTGATAAATGGATCATTACTTGGATGGATGGATGGATGGATGGATGGATGGATGAGAAGATGGATGGTTGGTTGAATTAACAGATGAATGGATGTTGGTTGATTGGATGGATGGATGGATGGATGGATGGCTGGATTGATTGATTGATTGATTGATTGATTGATTGATTGATTGATTGATTAAACAAAAGAATGGTTGGTTGTTTGGTTGGTTGGTTGGTTGGTTGGTTGGATAAACGGATGGATGAATGAATGAATGAATGAATGAATGAATGAATGAATGAATGAATGAATGAATGAATGAATGATAAACTGTTTATTATTTTGACCTCAGAAATTATTAGCTTGATTTTCAGATTAGAAACAGTAAACTCGTTCGTTTTATTTCTCTTATGTTTATTAAATGTAATATTTCTGCTGGACATAATATTTCTGTACTGAACACTGCTGCAGTTTCTTGGCCATGTAAACATATTATAGAATGTATAAAGTTGTATGCTGTATTTAATATTTTAATGTACATATTGCTTCATTGTGATGAAATACATTTTTACAACCGCTGTCACTTTGTGTCTTTTATCTTTCAGTTTTTCACTTCCTACTTGTTGAAACTAAGAAATGTTTCAAAAATTAGTAAAAAGGTTATCCAATGTGATTCAAAAGATTATTTAAATTAGCTTAGACAAGTACTGTATATAGAAAGGCAGAGAACAGTGTAACAGTTAATTTGATTAATAACCTGTAAGGTTTTATTGTGTATACTGTCTAAAGCACATTTTATGCACGGCATTGTTGATTGATGTTTAGTGCATCTTTAAAATTGATTA